AAATGCCCACAAATCTATCTCGAATCCTGCGTGATGCAGCGAGGTTTATGGTGGATTGTCGCAGGATTCAGCGCGCGTCTGATAAATCCCCCCACAGTGTACAATAACGATCTCGCCGCCTGATTGTGGCATCGATCGGCCTCGCTAATGATTCCCCCTTCTTCCTTTTCCTGGCTTTATGTTTATGGATTTTTTTTTCTACTTCTCAAGGACCATGCCTAAGCGATGTGAGGCGGCACAGCTGCTTGCAGTCTCCACCAGGGGTGCATGCGACGGTGGGGTTACAACGCAGGAGCGCTACTGAGAGACAGTTGTCACCTCCCTAAGAGGAAGTGTCGGCGCAAGGACCGCCATGGCAGGATCACCAGAGATGACGTTAATGAAAGCTACTGAATTAAAAACACTTCAAAGTTGGCTTTTGAAATGACGTGAACATGTGTCGGCTTGCGTGCAAAGTTCAGTGATTGGGTTTAAATCCGCCTCAAATTCATTCAAAATGCACATTTTCGAGCAATAATTTATATTCCTTTTATCTCTTTTTCCTTGGATGGAGCTTCACAGGTTGCTATGTTTTTGCTTTAAAACGGCGCCGGGTTGAATAATAGAAGAAGATATGAAAAGGTCATTTGGGTTTCTGTTTTTATTTCTGGATCGTCCCGCTCCCCTGTACACAATATAGCGCACGTTGTGTCCCTCCGGTATATCTCAGCTGCCTCTCCTCCCCGCTCTCCCTTATCGCCCAGAGCCAGCAGACCCGCTCTAGTCTCAGAAGGGATCTCTCATTTATTTATTTTTCCCCCTTCTCTCTCTCTCTCCTTGATCCCATGGTGACACAGACAGAGATTGTCTGATCTACACACAGGAGGTCTTCTGGAGCATGCGGCTGGGAGGCATTTTAGCCTCTGGGAAATTCTTCTGCCTCCTCCTTTTGTTGCTTGCTTTTCAGAGACTAGATGGATGTTCCTCGCTCTCTCCTCCTGGCACCGGCGGGGGAAGAGGCGTTATTGCCTGTTGGATCGGTGTCTGGAGCCCTCCTGTAGGTCTTCCCGATACCAATTGTGTGATTTAAAGGAGAACTATGTGGTCAGGGCTTTTCCCCATAGCTCTCCTTAGGGTAACGGGAGGACTCAAACTAGCGTCCTCCCGTCACCCTAAGCTCAGTATATAGGGAGCTACAGCTCACGGTATACTGAGACGGCGGCGCGGATCCCGACATCGATGTCGAGACCTGCTAGCTGCGTGAGTGACAGCTGGCTCTGCCTATCTAGAGGCAGAGACAGCTGTACCCGCCCCCTCCCCCGTCCGTTCCGCCAGTCAGCGCTGGCGGAGGGGGGAATCCAGCCCCTCCCCTGTTAGTTCTCCTTTTTTTTAATTTGACTTTGTTTATTAGGGAATTAAATTTGGTTGGACTCCTGTGGATGCTCCTTAGAATGCTGGCCATGGTTCTGGAGCGAGTATCGTAATCAAATGGTCAGTTGGACAACTTGTTAGTATGGCGGAGTTCGCTTGATTGTCTGACAAAATGCACACGCAGAGGGAGGGAAAAGACCGGCAAAGGTTGCTCATCATTGGGATGCCATTTTTATGTGCCATGGACGATAAAAGCGGCCAACTCTGTGATCTACAGGCATGTCGCTAATAGCCGTCTAAACGTCGCTTAAGTCGTCATGTTAATGTGGCTTTGGGTAGAGTTCAAGGTGTCCATCTGGAGCAGGCGATCTCCGCACTCCAGGCGTTGTGGAAAGTCCCAATAGGCATTGCAAGACTCTGATGGCCACAGGCATGACTCAGAGAGGCAGAGACATGACGAGAGTTTTAGCTTCACCACACCTGGAGTGCGGAGGTTGCCCACACGTGGCCTGAAGCTTTCATATGGAAGACATCTTGCAGTACAGTGACGAGTGCCAATCTGTGGGAAGTCTCAGCTGTTTGGGTTTCGTTGCTCGTGTGTGTTGCTGGGCTGTCCATTCATCTAGGAACAAGCATTGTGTTCTGTGGTAGTTCAGATGGAATGTGAGCTAAACCCACAATTTTGTCTTTCCTTCTAACATTTGTCATTCTGTTCAGCCAAATATGAAATGTAGACCTTTCCCAGATACATTTAAAGGGTGGCACCACTATTCACTATCATGGTTGTGTCACCAGTCTGCCTGCTGGACTGTAAATGGAAAATCTGCACACTGCCCGTGTTCTTCCATGTTGAACGACTCCTATCCATGCCTCTAAGGGCAGGTTCACACCACACGGACCGGTTACGGTGTGATCCTGCCCGTAGTTCCAGTGCATTCCAGACCAGATAAAATGAGACCAGCAGTATTGTTCTGGTCTGGAACGGACTGCGCTGGTGTGAACAGAGGCCAGAAATAGCATAGGGATACATTGTGGGTCCGGAAACAATATGGTCTGGAGATGATGTGGTGTGAATGGGCCCTAATACCTGAAACACGTTGGCAATGTGCAACAAAGGCTCGCTGTACTGGCACTACCGCTCCAATCCCGATGCCCAGGGCATGAATGTTTAGGGAGAACTTTGAGTTGCAATGCGATGCACACATTTTTAAGTCGTTGTGATAAAGGCTGGGCCCCTTTTAAACCATTCTGGGCCAATCGCAACTCTCTAGCATGCTCAGACGCTGACAAACCCCCACATGACGATGTCTGCTTGCTTTAAGCACAGTCATGGAATAGCAATGTCTAATATATTATGCCTAAAAGGGCAAAGCGGGGGCAGAAATGATTTGAGGGTTGTTCCTTGTGCCCGCTTTCCCGACTCCTCATGGGCCGCAGAATCGTGCATGGCTGCCCTGCGCCGCACCGATGCTTGCCAGTCTGGTATTTGCATTGCAGGGTGGACTGACCTCCGTGAGCCGTGTCACGTCGAGTTCACAGCTTGAGTGAAATGTCTCCTCGCCGCTCCCTGCCCCGTCCTGGCCATGCGAGTCCCGCGCAAATGTCAACAAACAGTATTGCCCCGTGCATCCATTAACATTCCCGCCAGTGACCCCCAGAAAACTAATTTGCTTCCTGGTAACAGGGGTCACCTGCTAACTACTGCACTGGGAACATTAAAAACAAAGCAATTTCTAAAGAGTTTATTAATGTATGTAGCACTGACGGATCCGGCAACGCTTAACACGCCGGGAGTTGGGGGCTGAGCGTTGACTGACGGGCTAAAGCGTCTTGGCAGCAAGTTTGAATTCTCGGCATTGTCACCAAATCCCTTGAATTGTATGGGGCTTGTCCTGCAACTTACCCTCGGCAAGGTCTTGCTCATCTTTGCAGCCATGTCTCTCCTCTCCTAAAGATGTTTTTGTCCTGGGATTATTTATTTTAGGTATTTATAGTGCCATCCGTTTAGGCAGAGCTTTATTCATGGATATCGGTTCCTGACCTCAAGAGCTTACAATCTAAGGTCCCCGTCTTGCATACTAGGGCTAATTTAGGAGCCAATTAAGCTACCAGCATCTCTTTGGAGGGTGGGAGGAAACCCACACAAGCGCAGGGAGAACGTGTAAACTCCATGCAGATCGCGAACTGGTTTTGGATTCAAACCCTAAGGACCCCCAATGCCGCAAGGCAAGGGTGCCAACCACTGAGTGACTGTGCTGGGATTTGACGCGAAGTCGCTCCATGGATGAAGTGCAGGATTGGCGCCGGACCTGAGCAGGAACTTCTTAGAAAACTTTAGATTTAATAGCGTCAGTGTAGTAATAGAGCCGCCATCCTATAAGGGATTTCCTCTACCCACTGAGGTACCCTGGGCTAAAACTTGAGGTAAAGAAAAGGAGCCTAAAGGCCAAATCGATGAGGTGGTTACATACAAATGATTGGCGTAGTTGAAAGCCAGCAAGTTTTGGGGAGTTGCACCCCCCCCCCCTTTCAAAGCTGGAATGTGCAAGTGATTGCCTCGGGGAAAGGAAAGTACAGTTACTATTGCTAACCTCTGAAGAAGGGGGATTTGGTGATGCCCATGGAACGAGTCGGCTTTCAAATGCTATAAGAGACAATCATTTGCTCTCCTCATTGACTCTTCTTGTTGCTCCTTTTTTTTTCTTCGTCATCTCCGGATTAAACATGGCAGGGATGGATTGTATCTCCAGGCGCTGGCAAAAGAAACTCCTTGCTTTATATTTTATTCCAAGTACCTCTGCTCCCTAAATAAACCCTTTTACACCCAGAGGGGTCTGAACTAGGAATGCACAGATACCTGTTTTTCGATTACGAGTACCGAATTTTATTTTTAGTGCTCACCAATACCGGAAGTCCCGTTAAGGAAGCCGGGCGGCTTATAATGACTCGCTGCCCGGCTTCCTGATTTTAGCCGACTCCATGCTCCCTCGTCACCAGGTAATGAAGTATGGAGCCGGCTTTCTGGCCAATCGGGAATGAGGGGGCAGATAACGACTCACCGCCCGGCTTCCTGATTTTAGCCGGCTCCATGCTCCCTCGTCACCAGGTAATGAAGTATGGAGCCGGCTTTCTGGCCAATCGGGAATGAGGGGGTAGATAATGACTCGCCGCCCGGCTTCCTGATACTGGTAGTTTCGTTATTTGGGCGAGTACGAGAACTCGCCCAAATACTCTGTCTCAGCACTAGTATTGGTGCATCCCTACTACATAAACATTCGATTTCCTCCTGCTGTTCCTGTCTGAATAGTCTTTTAAGAGAAGGAAGATGCCAAGTTATAGCCGTAGTCCTTATTTTTTTTTCTCCCTAAAGAATTGCTAAAATCTGCATCCAGATACATAGTTCTGTGGTAGGATTATAAGGGGCTTCAGTAGTGAAGAGCAGGGTTGGTGTTCCATAAGCGATGTGTGCTTGGGTGGCAGGGCCCTCATTGATGGCAGCGTTTTCTTGTGACGTGTTTAGCGAATGGCAGCCATTCCTTGCCCTGTAGTAGTCATGCTTTTGTGTTTTTTTTTTTTTTTTTTTTTCTTTTTCTTTATTTTGTGTAAATTGTTCTGCTTTAGCCTTATTTTTGTTTCTCCCTCATTTCCAGGCATGAACCATGAGCCAAAGTCCGCTTCCATAGGAATGCTTTCGACAGCCACTCGGACCACGGCCACGGTCAGCCCCCTCACTCCCTCCCCTATCAATGGCTCCCTGGTACCCAACGGCAGCCCGGCGGCCAGCAGCGCGCTCTCAGTCCAGTCCGCACCCTCCTCCAGCTTCGCCGCCGCGCTGCGCAAACTCGCAAAGCAGGCCGAGGAGCCCAGAGGTAAGGACAGATGCTCGGGGAAAACCCCCGCGTCTTGTGCATGTGTGCATGCCACAGTCACATCGCCATACACAGTGAAGCCAAGTGCCTGATTTCCAGGGACGCTGCCAGAAATTGCTGGCCTGTCCCGGGAAATTCCTTTTCAAGGATGTTGAGTAATGTACCATTCAGTCCGTCTTTTCTGCATGTGTGATTTCAGTTCCATTCTCTTTAGTTCAGGGCTTATAAAGTTGCAGGGGCAGTCCACCCAAAACTGCCATTTCAATCCATAGATAGAGCCTGACGAGTTGAGTCGCCCACCTGTTCAGTGTATATATCTTGGGGTATTCCGGTGGTGAGTTTCTGATTTGCCTTACGTGACCTTTTGTGGGAGGAGTCACTTCATTTTCTGCACATTTTTAACTTTTTTTTTTTTTTTTTTTAAGGGGGGCTTTTACAATTTTGGCATGCTTGCCCATAGCATTTCAGACTGTTAATTGTCGCCTGGTGTAAGGATGCGCATTGGACTACAAGAGTGACTGGCTGTGAATGTGTCGTTTTAACTGCCCTCAGGTGGTGGGATTGGGTGTTGGGTCCATGAATACAATCAACCCATTTAGTCGCGCTAGGATAAGGTATACTTAGTCACCAGCTGCAACAATGTGTCTAAAGAGTGATCAGTGAAGGCTTGTATGTTGCGCTTGGTGAAAGCTAGTAAATTAAATTGATAGCACCAAGGGCCCATGAATACAATGCTCTTACTCAACCAAACGTTCCTGTTTATGTCAATGGAGATGGATGGGAAGATGAGATATTGGAAGACGTTGTGTCCGGATGCGCGGGCATTCGCAATCAGAGTAGGGGTCTCCCCCAGGCAGGGCCGGTGCTAGGATTGTAGTCAAGGTGGGCAAGGTGCAATTTTTTGTACTTGTCAAAATGCCCCGATGTTTGAGCTATATTTTTTTTTTTTTACTTACCTTCAGTGCGGAGAGCAGCGGCAAGTCAGCGCTGGTCCGGTGGGAGGAGCTCCAGGTGGGGTCCTAATTTAGCTGGCCGGCAACTGCCTGAGGTGCCGCACGTGTTGGGATCCTCAGGCAGTCGCCTGAGGATCCCAGGCAATGCCCTGTTGTTTCCGCCCTCACCCTGCAGCGCCGTAAGGCGCCCGCCTTACTTGCCTTGCGCTAGCGCCGGGCCTGCCCCCAGGCAGCCAACAGAGTTTTGGGTTTCTAAAAACCATTGGATTTACCCAGTCCTGGCCCCAACAGTGTACTGAGCTAATCTATAGACTTCGACAGAGTTCAGTATCACTATGCCAGTAAAAGAAGTTGCATATAGACTGAGCAAAAATGGGTGACCCTGTGTAGATTTATAACTGTATACATGGCAACAAGGTTCCTCCAAAACATTCATTTCCTGCAGTAGAGAAATTAGACTGTTGGGATTAGAAGAACCGAGACACATTTTTTGGCCAGGGATTCCACAAAAAGATAAACTATATGGCCAAAAGTCTGCAGCCACCTGACCATTACACCTATATGGAATTTCTGGACATCCCATTACAAAACCATGGGCATTAATACGGATTTCCCCCCCATTGTGGCTGTAACATCCTCCACTCTTCTGGGAAGGCTTCCCTCAAGATTTTAGAGTGTCTGTGGGAATTTGTCCCATTTGTGAGGTCAGGTATTGATGTTGGATAAGATCTGACTCGCCATTAGCATTCCAATTTATCCCAAAGGTGGTCAGTAGGGTTGAGGTCAGGGCTCTGTGCACTGGCCATAACACCTCCTATGAGCTTTTTGGACATCCCATTCCAAAGTTATGGGCATTGGGATGGAGTTGGAGTTTATTTTTTGGCTTTAATGGCCTCCATTTTTTTTGGGAAAGGCTTCCACAAGATTTTGGAGGGTGTCTGTGGCAAATTTCCCATTTGTGAGGTCAGGTACTGATGTTTGGATGATAAGGTCTCACTGGCCATCAGCATTCCAATTCATCCCAAAGGTGGTCAGTAGGGTTGAGGTCGGGGCTCTGTGCAGGACACTCGAGTTCCTCCACCAAACTGGTCACACCATGTCTGTATGGAGCTGGCTTTGTACACAGGGGGCAGTCATGGGGGACAGAAAAGGGTCTTCACCAAATGTACAAGGTTGGAAGATCACAATTGTCTACAATGTATTTGTATGATAGAGTATTACCAGGAACCTTCACTGGAACATTCAGTCATTTGAAGGGGGAGTCCATGTACTTCTGGCCCTAGAGAGTGTGTGTGTGTGTGCGTGTGTGTGTGTCAGTCCAGTGAGCAATTTAGCCGAGTGGAAATCTGTTTTGTCGGGGTTCACATTAAAGGTCCAGTAAGCATAATGTACAATCATCATATAAACAAGCTGTCATTGGGTATCTGCTGTGCATATTGCTCTGTTGCCCTCGGACTATATTGTGTGAGATAACTGGAACGCTGTAGTTTGCGGAGGATGCGATGGCAATGCTGTGATTTTTAAAATGTTTCTGAAATGTTGGCGGCTATGTATCCCTTGGTATCGGGTGAAGTTCCGTTCTCTTCCCCTGCACACGAAAAACTCTTTTTTTTTTTTATCAGATGCGTTTTTAGGATCTGCCGTGATTTCGAAACGTTCCGTTAGCCGATAATGAGACGCGCAGCGGAAGTGTTTACTTCCGATAAGGAGACTTGTGTCGTTTCATACACGGATCTTAGAGCTCCAGATCGATTTCCTCCTCTTCTGGGCTTTCAGCTTGTCAGTGAAAGTCATCTTTCCCTGAAGGGGAGAGTCAGATCTGATATTGGTCTATGTGGCTTCTCTGTGCTGTAACTAAACTCTCCAGGCGTTGGTGTAGAACGTGATGCGCTTGGGGGTTGCTTCATAGAGGAAACGCGGAGCGATATGGGAAGGATTGATGTTTGAGCACAATTTGACATATCTTCCGATCGATGGAGGAATCGTGCAATATATGAAATTACTCCGGTGCTGCGCAAGTGGCGAGTGCAGACCATCGGACTTTATATTTCCCAACATTAGGCAATAAACTCATTTCCTTTTTTGCCAAATGGAATCGATGTGGAAGCGTCTTCATTTTCATGTAACAAAATGTCTCAATCTTGATTTGGCGTTCTAAGGCCACTGTCTCATCGTACAGCTAATGAAAGCCTCTCATGGGGTAGCCTCTGCTCCCTTAAGGCTGAACCCTGGGCAGTCCAAAATGTAAACCTATAGTAAGCTCATCCTATAGTAAGCTCATCCTATAGATCAGTGGTTCCTTGGTCCTTAAAGTGACATTAAACCCTCAGATTTTTTAACATAAACCAATACTGTAATGTGCGCCTTACTGTAATCCATGGTTGTTTCCCTTCTCTTTGCTGCTCTTCCTTTTTAAATCTTCATGTCTTCTCATGCTGGTGGAGAACTTCCCTTTTCAGCTCAGGGCCTCTTCCTGTAGTGCTGGCTCAGGTTACAAGCCTATAGAAACCTATACACAGACACCGTGTATCCATTCCTGAGACAAGGCAGTCTGCTGCAAAACAGAAGTTCTCCCCAAGCATGAGAACAGATACAGATTTGAAAGGAAGAGCAGCAAAGAGAAGGGAAACAACCATGGATTACAGTAAGGCGCACATTACAGTATTTTATGTTAAAAAATCTGAGGGTTTAATGTCACTTTAAGTTGCGACCCGAGTCGCACTGCAGTGTAATGCACGGCAGTGTGAGTGTGGGCTGCTGTGCCTGTGATGGAGCTCCATCCATATGTGCAATGCTTGTGCAGCTCACATGTGCACCTCTAGACATGCCGGGAGCCAGAATGTGATGTCACTCCGGTCCAGTCACCTCTACAGGACATGCGAGGGAGCTATAAGAAATGCACGTATGGAGGGAGCTCCTTCGCGGCCATATCTCCAGCGCCCCCCCCCCCAAGCCAACACTCGGCGCTGGGCAGCATATTTTGAATGGCTGCTCGGTGTAAGAATGGACAGCGCTGCGCTAGCACAGTGCTCTCACCTAGAAAAGTGGAAGGCATGCAGCGACCCACTGAACACGGGGTCACGACCCACCAGTTGAGAACCAAGGCTATAGATGACATTTTGATGACATTACAAGATGGCATGTCGTGGTCACTACATGCTACAGCTGCGTTACCATGAAAGCCCCGAGGGTGGTGATCTGGGTGCTGAGTGGAAAGTCGATGATGACACACAGCACATCCCTGTCACTACTTGATATCCACTGCATGGTAGAGCATGTGGCAGTCCATCATCGGGGTGTTCCAGGGTCACTTACTTTGCTCCCGCCAAATCATTTTTAATAAAGTTGTATGCGTACAAATATGTGTGTGATCATTCTTATTATGATGGCACTTTAATTTTCAGGGTTTTCTTTGTGGCCGACGTTTCAAGGTCCACTATACCTTTTTCTTAAAGTGCTACGGCTTGTGTATCCAGTATCTCCAGCAGTCCCCCTCGCACTCATCGTAACTCATCTAGCTGTCCTAAAGGTTTCATTCTTTGGTGGCCTCAACGGACGCTACTTAAATGCATACAGTATCTAACAGTCTGAGATACCCAGATCTCTGCAGGGCCGCACCCGGAGTCCCTATCCACTGGTTTTGTGCATCCGCTATATGGCCAGAAGTGTGTGAACATTTGACCATCACACCTATATGAGCCAGTTGGACATCCTTTTCCAAAACCAACGATGTACCATTAATATAGAACACCCCCCTTCCTTTGCAGCTATACCATCCTCCACTCTTCTAGGAAGGCTTCCCTCAAGATTTTGGAGGGTGTCTGTGGGAATTTGTCCCATTTGTGAGGTCGGGTACTGATGTTGGATGAGAAGACCTGGCTCCCAATCGGCGTTTCAATTCACCCCAAAAGGTGGTCAGTAGGGTTGAGGTCAGGGCTCTGTGCACTAACCATGACACCTCCTATGAGCTTATTGGGCATCCCATTCCAAAGCCGGGGATATTAGGATGGAGTTGGAGCTTATTTTTTGGCTATAATGGCCTCCATTTTTCTGGGAAGGATGATGTTGGATGGGAAGATCGGACTTACAATTGACGTTTCTGTTCATCCCAATGGTGATCAGTAGGGTTGAGGTCGGGGCTCTCTGCAGGACACTCGAGTTCCTCCACCAAGCTGGTCACCCCATGTCTTTATGGAGCTGGCTTTGTACACAGGGGACAGTCATGGGGGGGACAGAAAAGGGTCTTCACCAAACTGTGACCACAAGGCTGGATGATCACAATTGTCTACAATGTCTTTGTATGCTGTAGCATAACACCTGAACATTCGGAGGGGGGTCCACATACTTGTAGCCATGGAGTGTATGGACGCTATAGGATGAACAGACCCCTTCACTGGAGTCATCTGAACTCCATCATCTGGAGGGGGGTCCACATACTATTAGCCATGGAGTGTAGAGCAACCAGGTGGCACTGTGATTGTGGCGTCCACATAAACGTAAACTGTATATTAACCGAACACAACGAAAAACCACCCGCAGCCTCCATGGAACAATGAAGAGATGGGCACAAACACATCTGAAGCTGTGGCATGGCGTGCCATATTCTAGGATGTAGCCTCTCCTACCCCACACCCCATCTTTTCTTCACCAGGCAGCAACCTCCCTCCAACAGTCTTGTCCTAAAGGGATGTGGGCAATGCTGGTGAGACGGTCCATCGTTCCCTTTCACAGGATACGCCGCATACAGTCCTACAAGAAAACATTTAAACTCGGCCAAGTGACATTTTTTTTAATGTGCTATATTTGCTGCAAACCGATGTTCACAGCGTGCTGGACTTCAGTGGGAGATCCTCCTTCTGCACGGAGCCCATCAGCTTGCTTTTGTATAAATGCACCCATCCCCCTTTGTTCTGCAGCATCCTATTTCCTACTCGCATTTGTTTGCGGTCTCTAATCCGCTCTCGTTGCACCTGTTCTCTCTTTTTCGGAGGTCTGGCCACAGAGCAAGAACCGGGGCAGCCAAGGGAGCCGTCCGCTGACGGCCTATTTTTCCAGTGAATGAGGGGAATTTAACAGCGGCAAATTAATTTCATAATGAAGGTAGAAATTAGCGGTCGTTATGCAGAGTACATTAATCTCATAAGTGCCCCATTTAGG